ATCTTCAAGTCATTGGCAAAAAACAATTTACCTCCACGTAGTAGAATAAACGTTACATCGTTCACAAATAAAGAGAAGTGTATACAGTAACTACACGTTGCACGAGGTACGATCTAAGCCAGCTGCAGAAGGAAACAGAACATCCAATTTTTTCAAGCTTTGATAGCAGAACGTCGTGCACAACTCTATCAAACGCAGCTTCAAGATCAGTGTAGATGGCATCCACTTGAAGTTTCTTGCATACATTTTCCATACAGAACGACGTAAAGCTGACGAAATTAATTTCCACGGAGCGGCCAGGAAAGAAACCAAATGGACATGTACTTATGTAATGCTTGCAGGAAGCAAACAATCTCTCATTTATCAGCGACTCAAACAGCTTAGCTTCAACCCCAAGCGAGGTAATCCCACGGTAGTTTTCCACATTGCGTTTGTCTCCTTTCTTGAAAACAGGGAATATAGTAGAGCGTTTCCTTAGTGCGCTAATGATCCTCGATCGTCTGTCAGGGACGATCCGCTCAGGCCGCTGGCCTTAATTGCCAAGGAGGGTCCCGTCTCGGCTCGACCAAGATGGCCATGCCACGGTCAGCCGATGTCGTCAACGATTGAAGACGCCTGCCAGCCAAACGAGCCAGCAACGCCTGCTGTGGCTGATGAACGCCACCAGATCCGCCATTCTGCCATAACAGAAACAACACCGTTTGTTGCCCGCGCCGCAAGTTACGGACACACGGTAGTGCAGCCGTAGGAGATCCCGCTGCAGCAGTGAGTACAGTGACAATTTAAACCCTCGCATACACGCCACATAGGGGAAATGGATGTAATGTCGGCTAGTTTGGGCCATCCATAAATTCAGCAATCGACTAAATTTTCAATAGCCACCAAAAATATCCATTAGTACCGTCCCAATGACGCGTTCATCTAGATAAATTGATAAATAGCAGAATTTTAGCGATGGGCCGAATCTTAGATCCATAGGCCAACATTTGAGCCATTTCCCCTATATGTGAAAACCCACACGCCACAGAAAAGGGCAATAAATGTTTTAGAAAATGTGAATATTCCTGTGTTTGCATACTTTGTCCGCGTAGCCCCTCCGCATACCCTGTAACATGCCGGCTAGACTGATGAAAAAATTAAAATTTTCGCTCGACAGTGTTCAAATGGTTCCAAATTGGGTCCTGATTAGCCTCCCAAAATTTGAACTCATTTAGTGAAAAACTGACTTGGCACAAACCATTTGAAGTTTATATGGGAATTACTATGGAGAAACCATAATTTCGGTTCATATTTATCTCAAAATTCACCAGTTTACTCTACTTTAGAAAATGATAACTGAGCTTGTTGAAAATTTTCTCAGCTACAACTTCGTTGAAGATCACTTTTCGATCAAATGTAAGGAACAAAAATTGTTAATGATTCACGTCACTGATGTCTTATGATTATGCTCAATCAATTGTTCAACAGGCAACATTGGTGTTTAGGCGCGTAGAATAGAGAAGAAAAATCATGGTTACTATGTCACACTGCAGAAAACAGTGCTGCTCACAATACAGTTGCTTAATCTTGCCAAAAGATTATCAATCTCTTAAACAATTAATAACTATTTAATTTGATGTTTGGCTGAAAAGCGATTTTCTGCAAAGTTGTAGCTGATCACCATAAGGATAGCAATAGAATTTGTTAACACTACAATATGTTAAAAGGCTAGGAGACAATTAACAAAAAGTTTTGTTTTCCCATAGTAATTTCCATAGAAACTTCAAATGGTTTGTGCCAAGTCAGATTCTTATCAAATGAGTTTAAACTTTCGGAGGCTAATCAGGACCCGATTTGAAACCGTTTGAACACTGTGGAGCGAAAATTTCAAATTTTGCATCAGTCTAATGCCGGCCTTGCGACACAGTTCAGGGGTCTCATGTTACTGAGCTAGTAACCCGGGAGTGTTTGGTCATGCCATAGTCACAACTTAAGTATGCTGTAAGGGGAGAGAAGTAGATTAGAAATCAGTGACAAGCAATTCATAAGATAGACGATGAAGCATGTCGAATGGGGGAGGGGGTGACTTTTCATCATTATCTTGTGACATGGATGCGCCCTTATATTTCATGTAAAAACAAAATTCATTGACTTCCCAACCTCCGGGAACATGAATATTGTACCTTGTAAGGGTTTTGAATGGTCCACATTAGTGGAATGATCTTAACGGAATCTAATTTCAGAGAAACATGTTCCGTTTGTTTCCAATACAGCGTGATCCCAAGTGGGTTCTTTAAGGGTATTGAGGTAAATGCATATTCGTAATCTGCATTAGAAATGGAACCCAAACCCAAAATTTCATCAATTTTGGTACACTGGAACTATTTTAAATAAGAATGATTACATTTGCAAAAATCAACTTATTAGCGCCCCTCGGTGTCACTTTGTATGGGAGCGAGCTGTCAGTTTGTCAGTTTAGTGTCAAACAGTGATGTTATTATTTTGCTTTAAATATTGATTTAAAAATCGAGATGAAAGTGTGTGGGTTCGAGAAAAATATCGCTGTGCTCAGAAAATGAAGCTCTTTCAGATGATATATAAAAACCGATATATTTTTCAAAATTAAAGAACCCAATTAGCAATGGAAGAATGCTCCGATAAAAAAATCACTCAGGCTAAAACTGGACCACACCTATGAATCTTGTAGCATACTATAATAAAGTCACAAAGAATAAGAGATCTGTACAAGAATCTGGAAAATCCAAATTAACCCTCATAATTCACAAGTACAAGAAAACCATGTGCAAGAGGACACTTACGACCCGTTCCTTTAGTGCATCCATCTCGTTGAAATTCATAACAGACCTTTTTCCATTTTTATTGCTAACGCATGTTTTGACACTACGTTCAATAACATTCGTTTGCGCTTTGCCAATTGAAAACGAAACAGAGAAAAACAACAGTTCAAATTACTACCCGGTGTATTCCAGGCAGTTCAATACTCACCAGACTTGCATTCTAAGTTGTGATTATTCATCAATACCCATACCAACCTCAAGAGGTACAAGTCGCCTGTATTTGTGACGCTTCTTGAATTCACACTTTTAACGAGTAGCCAAATCGAAGCTGATTGGCTAAACTAAAATTTCAAAGTAAATCCAAGCACCTCCCACTAGAAAAAATATTGCGTAGAGTTAAGGTTTTGTGTAGAGTTCGTGTAATTCATTTCTAAGAGAAATAAGAAGGCAATTTTGAGCTTTCAAAGGATGAACAATCAAGTTTGTTAAAATCTACAAGAATCAACAATCAACAAATATCAACTAAAATCGCGAAATACAATTAATTAAAACGCAAAAATCTTTATTCAACCAGAATCTGATATCAACTAAAATTAATATTCAACTGGAACCAACTATCAACCAGAATCAAAAATAATTAAGAACCAAATTTCAAGATTGAATAATAATGAATAATCAAGATTCAACAAGAATTAAGAATCAATAATCAACATAAATAATGAATCAAGAGTCATAAAAATCAAGATTGAATGCTTCTTCAAATATTAACCAGAATTAAGAATCAACGAAAATAAAGAGTTAAAAACCAAATGACTAGAACCAACATTAATCAAGAATCAACCAAAATTCTTGATCAACCGGATAAACTAGAATGAATAATCAACAAGAGCCAAATATCAAACTAAATCAAGAATAAATAAAGCACACGAATCAACTAAATCAACCAACATTTTTCAAAACAATAATCAACAATAATCTGACCAGAAAGGAATTAAGCAGAATCAAGTATCGACAGGCAGTTAAAATCATTAATCAACTAGAAGCCATAATCAACCTGAGCTAAGAATAAAATAAAATCATGAAAAAATATGAATCCAAGAAACAACAAGAATCAATAATCAAGATTCAACATGAATTAACCAGAAACAATAATCAAGAACCAAGAAACTAACAAGCACAACCATTGACGAAGACGGGCCTTCTCTACATCAACATATGGTAACATCGGATACCGAAAGTAGTTCCTCTAGCTTCAAGCAGCAGGTTGGGTCAGCTGTGTGCGTCACTACCTTCTGTGTTTGAAGAACCTCTTATCAGAGCGCGGCACGAGCATCCCCCAACAAACGATACGTCGCGTCTCGCGTAATGGAAAATTGTATACCGTAGAACCCTGTTAGTTTGAATAGATAAAATCGCAACTAACCGATGCTCACAAGGAATTTGTTTAGCTGGTGCGTATAGCGCCATTGGGCATCTCTGTAGGGGTACCAGTTAAACAAATTCTTAATGAGCACCAATCAATTGCGATTTTAGCTATTCAAACTAGCGGGGCTCTGCGGTATTATGGACACTAAACATTAGGTTATCAAACATTTTTAGCGACACGGTCGTAAACGGTGGTCCAGACATATGATTTATTTTTGGGATAGCTTTCTATGGAGGAAACTCGTACACTTTCCAAAGCTTTATCTAATGAATTGCAAGATTGCTAGCCAAACAGGCTTTTATTAGATTCTCTATGGTACACAATAGATAAACCTCGAGATGGATCCAAATGTTATTCTTAGGATTGGGCTAAACAAACATTTGTGGTTTCACATAATCAAATATCCAAATTTCAAAGTAAATTCAAAGTTAACTAGGTATTCGGAGATTTAGCTACTTGCGGCTATAAAATACTATCGCCATCTGTTGACTATCGGTAGCCACACTACCAACTAACGAATATTTACATCAACTGTTCAAAGTAGTGGTCCTGGTTGCTTTTTAGCAAATTCAAAAATTAGGTCAATAATTGTGGTATCGGTAAATGCTAGTTTGACACAATCAGCATGATTCACAAAATTGACCCTTCACTCAGAATACGACTGCTTTGCAACTCTGCAACATTGCTCACTACATAATCTTAATTTCATATAATTGATGATATCGTTGAGTCAACACGAAATGTTTGTTAAATCACCATTATGAATGTTTTATCATAATTTATGTCTTTGTTTTTACCTCTGTCAATAAATGTTAACACTACAACCAGGGAAACAAATATCATTGCTTTGAATTCCATCTTCCTTCCTGTTTTTTTTTTGCGCAGTTTTAGACACTGTTCGAGCTCACAAAAATTAATTTATAAATGATTTATCAATGTTGTTTTCGGAAACCACCTCAGCAATGTTCACCAAACACAATTCGTTCTAGCAGTAATTAAAATACAACCATCACGCGAAACGTCCAGCCTACGATGATCTACAACCATCCAGCGCGATGCAACAGTTGAACATAGACTGATGTTTCCATCTGATTGCCCTTCCAACTTCCAACCTGTTGTGTTTCCTACTATTTTGTATAATCATCATCATCATCATCATCATCATCATCAAAAGCGTCGCCATGACGGATATGTGAACAGCATCATCGTGAAAGTCAACATTGCTACCATTATTCGAAGAGTAGAGTAATAAACCTATCATCGAAACATATTAGATAGTGATCCAACAACCAAAGATCACAAAAATCACTCATGGCTGAGTGGGAATGCGGTAGATTAAATTTTCTAATTGGGTTCGACTGTTTTATTTTTCAGCCGCGTTGTTATTGACCTAGGTATTTAATTTAAGGCGATGCCATTTAGCCTAAAAATGCACCTCTATTCTAGTTGCGTTTTTCAGCGTGAGAGCTGCGTGAGCGTCCAGCGTAAATTCCCAACTGCCTAATTTCGGTAGTACATTCGTGTTTGAGATGCTAGTCTCGTGCGTTTATATTTGTGGAATGGGAAGGAAAGGTTTCGAATCATTGTTACCTGCATATCTAAAATGCATCACAAATATGTTTTGAAAGCCAATGACTGCAATTCGATGGTGTGCGTCTAGAGAGGTGAAATTGTCAGGGGGAAAGCACGTGGATACACATGGCCCTTTCGTTCGGTCGTTCAAGTATGGGTGCTGGCTTTCTTCGAGCGTCCAATGTGTGCTATTTCGTTTTATGTAGTGCGCAGCAGCCTAATCGTCTTATCCTTTCGAGCGCACTGTGGGGCCTTGTCGGACAAAACTTCAGATAACGACATTTTTGATTTGATAAATTTGGCAAATATGTTGATGTAAAGAGAATACAAAGTTAAGCTTCCAGATTTGTTTAAGTTGCAAATTTAAATAGCAAAAAGTTCTTTCACTTTGGAGTTAACGTTGCTTTAGTGAGTACGTAGCTTTTATATACAGTCAACTTTCCATATCTCGATGTTCTATATTTCGATGCATACTTTTTTCAATATGTCAATGGTTATCCGAAGCCTTCAAATTGTCTAGTAGGCTATTCATGTTCTATATCTCGATCTCTCCATATCTTGATGGTCCCTTCAATATCGAGACATGGAGAGTTGACAGTATTAAGTTTAGATGATTGATGGGAAATTATCTGAGGAATTCAATCGATTTCTTAGATTTCTTTAAAAGACAGTGAATAGAAAGTTACAGTCAAAATATGTTTATTCTTATATTCCCAAGTAACAATTTCTAGTTGGAGAAACGCTTTCGTTTTGATTTTGTTCAACTGCATGTTGAATAATAATTTCACAATTTCTTTTACCACAACTTCTGTAAAACCCTTGCTTATACTGGTTTGGAGAATCTATTCAACTGCAACACAAAGGTTTTTATACGTATTGCCTAACGTATTCAGGAAAACTTTTACCCAAAAAAACACTTTCTTGATGAAGAAATGCTTTTATTGTGATTTTATTTAGCTGCATGCTAAATAATAACAGTATAATTTGTTTACCACAACTTCTGTAAAACCCTTGTTTACACTGGTTTGGAGCATCTGTTCAACTACAGCATTATATGTATACTAGACTGATGCAATATTTGAAATTTTCGCTCCACAGTGTCCTGATTAACCTCCGAAAGATTAAACTCATTTGATAAGAAACTGACTTGGCACACACCATTTGAAGTTTATATGGAAATTACTATGGGAAAACAAAACTCTTTGTTCATTGTCTTCTAGCCTTTTTACATATTGTATTGTTAACAAGCTATTCTTATGGGAATTTTTATCAGCTACAACTTTGCAGAAAATTGTTTTTCAGCCAAACGTCAAATTAAATAGTTATTAATTGTTTAAAAGATTGATAATCTTATGGCAAGGTTAAGCAACTGTATTGTGGGCAACACTGTATTTTGCAGTGTGACATAGTAGCCATGATTTTTGTCCTCTATTCTACGCGCCATAAACACCAATGTTGCCTGCTGAACAGTTGATTGAGCATAATCACAAGACATCAGTGACTTGAATCATTAATAATTTGTGTTCCTTGCATTTGATCGAAAAGTGGTCTTGAACAAAGTTGTAGTTGGGAAAATTTTTTACCAACTCAGCTATCATTTTTTAAAGTAGAGTGAACAGGTGAATTTTGAGATAGATATGAACCGAATTTATGGTTTCTCCATAGTTATTCCCATATAAACTTCAAATGGTTTGTGCCAAGTCAGTTTCTCACTAAATAAGTTCAAATTTTGGGAGACTAATCAGGGCCCAATTTGGAACCGTTTGAGCACTGTGGAGCAAAAATTTCATATTTTGCATCAGTCTAATGTATACGCTATAGGAGTAGCAGCATATTTTATGCAATCTTTCTAGATAAATATTTAAACTCAAGCTTAATTGTTTGGGTGAAAGCTCTTATATCACGTTTGTAGACACTGCTGCTTTGAAACTTAGTAGAGAGTAAACCTGAAAGGCGTTTTGAAGTCATGATTTCATGAACATATCGTATTTTCATGTTATGAAAATACATCATGAATAATATTCATGACATCATGAGCTATGTTTGCGGAACGCACCCAAGATTCCCGGAATCATGAATCATCCTAGTTAAAATCATGTTCATGAGTTTAACTTTTAGTTTTTAAACGAATACATATAAAAATAATAAAATAAAGCAACAATTATGAAATCATGAATTTCCATAACGAAATCATGAATCTTTGTTATGATTTCATGGGATGGCAAGTTTTTTGATTTCATGATTTTTTCTTCATGAAAATGGAATCGGATTTTTTCCCGTGTACACTCTTTCATGACTTCCAAATAATCATCATACATCAAGCGTTGAAAAGCGTTTATTACACCTTTTAATGACTCCCTAATAACCGTTATGTAAGCACTCAAAATATTCACAGATTAAAGATAGTTTAACAATTGTCGTGGAACGCCAAAATAAACGATTGTACACGCAAACCAAAAATTTATTACAATGAATGTTATAGTTCCACTTCCTACCATCTTCTGTTCATGAACATAGCAGCGAATGTTAGAAATTGACCTTGCAGGCGATGTAATGATTTTTTGTTTTTTATTTTTTTATTTCGTGTTCTATCTACGCTTTCGACTACACCAGTAACACCAGTAACATATTTATAACATTGTAGAACGACGCACACACTATCTCCAGCAGAAAAAAGCGTACGAAGTCGAGTATGAGAGGAAATAAGCGCTTGGTGTTTGCTTTTAGGCTATCCAAAAACAGAAGCGTGGAGAAGGCAGTGAAGAAAGAATAGGTCTGATAATAGCTACGTTCGTGTTTCGAGTCCAGTCCAGCAGCCCTGTTCCTATTTTTTTCGACATGATTGATTTCACTCACTAATACACTCCACATTTTAAGGTTTCCAATTTTCTTGCATTGGACCGCAGCTAGATATATCGGTATATTGCATCCTCGGTTCATGCGGTTTCCACTAACATCCTCTGATGATGAATCCCACATGATTGTTAGAGAATCTTACATTCCCCGGTTGGGTGTACAATTTTTATTCATCTTATTTATTTGTACACATTGAAAAAATAGACATTCTGTAGTGATGGAGGAAGTAGTAACAAGCATCTGTTTAATCTTTGATTGATATTTGTTTAATTAATTGCTCTAATAATTAATTGAAAGAAATAAAATTATTGATCATATAATATATGTCTAATATTAATGTTTGCATTTATTCATAACACCTATGTATAATTTACCTCAACTCCTCCAAGTGTTTCTCGAAACAAGATTTGAACTCATGATCCTGGATTGCCAGCCGCTTCTGTTGCCCTCTGCTCTATGCTCTATTCTTGATTAAATATTTTGATAATATGAGAGAAGTATATGAAACTCATCTTGAGTGACTTCTCTTGCATCAGCCGTACGACGCAACTTAGTCGCGATGCTCTCACAAGAGCGCTAGACGGCACTGAAATCATTCTCATTTTTTATTGAACACCCGTTAGTGTAATCACTGCTTTACGGTAATGTAAACGTACCTATCACTTGTGCTATTTTAAGTAACAAAATTGTGGTTTATATTTATAGCCCAAGTCACGCAAGTACTGAAACAAAGTTTTATACGTCATTAAACAACCTCATCAAAAGTGATTAGGCGTTGTAAAACGGCTTTACAATTATTGAATAAATGCTTAACAAACATATCTGGAAGCACTGTTCGTTGTCAAGCTGTTAACATACCTGTCAAAGAGCTTTGTATTTATAAGTGAGTTCTTGGTCCGCTGAATCGATTGCAGAACTCCTTTTCAGCTTGTATTTCATCTTTAAATATCCTTCTGGTTATTGTGAGAGAATAACCTGTATAATCAATAAAGCTACATAACTAGAATTCTCTGAAAAGAGTTGCTTAGATAACTTGAATATGTTTCAGTACAACCAGGGTGGCCAGATTATTTTTTTCACTATCGGTAGCTTCTCAAAACTTTTATCGGTAGTTATCGGTAGGCCGTCTTAAGAAGGCTTCCCGAAACTTAAAACCTTTGTGAGCGGGGGAAGGATGAAAACAAATCTCGCGCAATTTTGGACTTTCGAATCGAGCAATCAGTCCTTCAACCTCACATATTGGATAGTCTAATCGAGATTTGGTGTATAATGAGTCACGCTAAGAGTGAAGCCAAGTCTACATATTGAACTATCAAACCGCCTACCTATCCTGCAAAGTAAACAAACATTACGATGCTATGAAAGGTCCACGAAAGGTATTGCAAAAGAATATAAAATATAATCGAAGAAATGATCATAAACACGCAGTCAGCATTAA